CTGAGCCAGTACAAGAAAACACTTGAAACATCAACATCCTGACTTTGGTTGCCATGCTGTCCTTTCTTCATAATTCAACTCCAGCTAACATGTCTCCTCAAATCCAGAAAACATAAGCACTGGAGAGAAAATGTAGACATTTGACTCCAGGTGAGTGTACCTGATACACAAACATTCATAAAAGAAACTTAAATGTACAGGTACTTCCTTCGTCAGGTAGGAAAAAAATACCTTTCTCAATAACAATAGCTAACATTTATGTACCCTTTGTTTGTATCAGGCACTATTATAAGCACTATATAGGAATTAATTAATCCTCTAGCCATCCCATATGAGTTAGGTACTATTATCACTTCCATTTTAAAATGGGGAAACTGAGGCACAAAGAAGTAACTTGCTCCAGGTAACACAGCTGCCAGGACGCAAATGCAGACAGTGGGGCTGCAGAGTCTGTGTTCTTAACCACTGCTCCACCATAGCCCTAGAGGTCTGTTTCCTTCCGTGACTAAATGTGAGCCAGTAACTGGTTTAATGACAATGAGCCTTCACATACAGAAAAGGGGAGATAGTCATTCCCCCCCTACAGGTAGAAGGTGGTGACAGAGACCTCACACACATTCAGCACCACAATCCTTAGGGCAGTGTGGGAAGGTTGAGTTTCAAACGAAGGCTTTGGCTTGCTAAAGCCACTGCACTGAGCACAACAAAATGCAGGAATGGCCGCTTCTCACAGCCCAAGTACATCTGTGCTCACTCTGGGAGAGTGATGATAAAAAAGATGTGGTCCAAGTCTGAATAAGCTCACAACCCAGCAAGGACATGGCCGGGTAAATGTAAAAAAGTCACATGAAGCAGGTGCAAGTGTCATCACAAGATGGGATCAGGGCTGAAGGGGTCAGTCAAGGTTGCACAGAGGGTCACAGGCAGGAAGGACACCCCAGGACAAAAAGGGGCAGAGAAGGGAATGTTTGCAGCATGTTTGGGGTTCCACACAGACATGCTGGTCTGTGGTGTGTGTGGAGGGCAGAGGTGGCAGAAGAAACTGAGCAGGGCCTGCAGGGTCTGTGCCCTCTGGCCGGAGGGATCAGAGGCATAAAGCAGGCAAGGGGCAGAGTATACCAGGGAGTGGAGAGCAGAGGCCTGAAGTAGTGCTCAATCAGGAGGCCATGGACACAGCCCGGGGGAGGCAATGACAGGAGGAATAGAGAAGGGGGCCAGGTTGGAGAGACATTTGGGGAGTGGCAGACCATGGGACGAGGGAGAGGAGGGCATGGGGATCACTGAGGAGTCACACCTGGGAGCAGGGCAGTGACTTTCAGCAGAGAGGGAACACGTGAGGATCTGATTTTCGCAGGAAGATAACCTCAGTTTGGGACAAGCAGGTTCACAAAGCACTGAGGTTTCTGGAGGTGTGAGCTGCTCAAAGACAGCGTGGAGACAGAGGAGTAAGTTGCCTGAAGGGTTCCCCCAGCTACCCTTTAACTGCACTTGCAGGGCCTGGCAAAGTACACCCAACCATTCACAGGCCAAACTAGAGTCTTCTGGATCCCGCAGGGAAGGTGAGAACTGCCTCCGCCTCCTCCACACCTACTTCAGTTCAGCTACTGTCAGTTCTAATCAGGAACAAAACCCAAAAGAAACCAGAGAAACGAGTTGCCCAGGCTGGAGGAAGAAAGGAGAGGGGGGCGGGAAGCAGAGAGAGAGAAGAAGGTTATCCCCTATAGTTAAGAAGAACTTGCTTCAGAGTGAAAGGGGTAGAGACTCTCACTCAGGCCGGGCCATCATCTGTTCTTACTGGTTTCACTCAACCAGATCAAGAACCATAAGAAAAGTGGCTTCAGTTCCACACTTGGCCCTCTCCTTCCTCACAAACTTTTCTTCTAAGGACTCCTAAAAGGCAGGACCAAGAGCCCTCTTTGGAAAAAGCCAGCTGCCTTCTCTGTGTCACAGACACAAAAAGTAGAGGGGACCAGGGCAAAAAGACAGGGACTTTGCCTGTCTCCATGACAGTGTGAGGGCAGGTTGCACCATGTACCTTCTGCCGCTCAAGGGACAAATGGACTAAGACCATCTTCTGGAACCCACCAGCTTCTGCTGGGGGCTTCTCCCCCCTCAACTGAGCTCAGCCCAAGACTGGGTATGAACCACTGGCAAAAAAATAGCTGAAAGGGTGCCTAAGTGGTGGAGGAGCCCCTTCTGCAGGGCCCAGAACCTTCCACAAATCTGAGGCTGCTTTCGACCCAAGTCTCGTGCACATCCTCCCCTTTATTATGAAACTGCCTCACCATGTTCCATGTGGGAGGCCACATAAAGACTTTGATCTTTAACATGGTGAAGTAACAAAGGAGCCAGTGTTGGCAGTAGTCTTACTCCCTGTATATGCCCGAGTGCCAGGCTGGTCAAGCAAAGGCCAATGGGAGTGAAGGCTACTGAGGTGTGTCCCCACTGACAACAAGCTCAGGTCACTGGTTCTGACTGCAAACAGTTCAAATTCCATGAGTGACAATCACTTGTCAATTAATTGTTGGAATGGAAGCCCATACCATCCTGGCCCAATGGCCACCTTTTAGAATCGTCTACCCAATGGCTTGGCTTGCAAAATCCTCTCCAGCCTCTTGGCTGCCACCATGACTCTCAGCACAGAATGGATGAGGAGAGCAGGACAAATGATCTCTTAACCAGTGACTCACCAGGAAGTCTGTTCATGTTGACACCTTGAGCTGAGAGTCCTATTCCCATGTACCTTCAAAAAAGCACACACACAAAAGTTTGGTTAACAAATGATTATGCAATTCCCTTCTCAAATACTTCTTGGTAAAAAAAAATAGAAAAACAGGAAAAGCAATGAATGTAGAGACTCTTTTAACATACTAGTGGTTCTTGGGGAACCGTTATATTGTGATTTTCCAACGGAAATCATCTCAATGCCTTAAGCAGCTGAAGAATCAGGAGGTAGTACCTGTAACCAGGTACCACTGGCTTCAAGTTTCAAAGGGAAGTTTCCTGAAATCACTGCTTCCATCCCCATTGTTTCTGGCTCGAGCTGAGATGGCACAATCTATTCCCCAGATGTGCTCCATCTAGTACAGTGCTTGGCAGAGCAATGCAAGATCCATCCCACAGGGACAAGCCACTGTGCAGCAAGGACCAGGACATGGAAAAAGTACAGCCAGGCCGGGTCTCTACAGGATCTTCAAGACCCTCATACAGAACTTCTTCCCTAAACTCAATGCCCTCTCACCCCACACATCACTGCTGGCCTCCCCAATCATCCGAAAATAGGCGACAGTGGTGTGTGAGGCCCCTGAAACCCACTTTCTCACTCCTCTCACCCCAGTTGCCTCAACAACTAAGCCACCGACAGCAAGGTAGGGTCCCAGCTGGGCAATTCTGCCAAGGATATCTCAGTGACACTCAGGAGAGCGCAGGCCAAAAAAGGAAATAAACAGATTTTTTTTTAATCTAAATGTTGGTAGTGCACAAAGAAATGGTGAGGTATTTCCCCAAAAACTTAAATAAGAGAAATAAGTCATCACCTTCAAAGAATATAATACAAAATTAACACACAAAAAGTAGTTGCGTTTCTATACACTAACACTGAACAATCTATAAAGAAAATTAGGAAAATAATTTCAGCCCTGGCCAGTGTGGCTCAGCTGGTTGGGCGTCATCCCATGCACCAAAGGGTGCTGGTGTGATTCCCAGTGAGGGCGCACGCCCAGGCTGTGGGCTCCATCCGCAGTAGGGGGTGTGCAGGTGGCAGCTGATCGATGTTCTGCTCTCACCCCAAACCCAAACATCCAAGCACAAGAGATGGAGCCTACGTTGACAGGCTCCAACCCTATGTCTTATGCCACAGTGGACAGAACAGATGCAATGTCTGCCACCCACCTCAGGATGCGGGGGCTATAGGAAGAAGTCCCAGCCATCAGAGAAAAAGCAGTCACAGCAGTACTGGGCACATGATGGACACTCAACACATCCCTGAGGTTTGTCCTCTTGTGAGCTGGTGAAGAACCTTATCAGCAAAGTCACAGGCTCTCTCCCAGCCACATTTCAATGGGAACCTCAGTTTCTAGCTGGTATGAGGTCATAACAGAGCTATGGGACAGATAAGTGAGCCCTGAATTCAGCTACAACACCCCGCGCACTATTCTCCCCTCTTGCTGCCACTTGCCTGCAGAGCTGTGAGATTAAATGACTTACAACCACAAAGCAAGTGACCACAGGAGGAGGGACGCTCACTTCTCCATCCACTCAAGAAAAATCTAAGCAGACCTGAAGCTTCCTCTCAATCAACAATGGGTAACGTGCAGTGCTTTGCTAAGTTCTGGACCAATGTGGTCCCAGCTCTCCAATAGGCTGCCAAGAATGAAGCAAGAGGAAAGGGCATACAAAAGCCCCAAGACAATAAGGAAAGAGCATACAAAAGCCCCAAACCCAAGAATGTTCTCCTGGACATATACAGTAGTACCTCTGCATCTAAGGAGCAGAAAGAATGATATCAGGAAGTCACCCTGACACTATTGCTCCTCTGTTAATCTCTGGTGGCACTTGAAAATACATGGGTTGCTGGGGCCTTGCTAAAGTTGAATAATTCAGGAAAAGCAGGTGTGAGAGAGACCCTTGCAATCATTCACCCATTCCACAAAGATCCTCTGTGCCCAGTATGCTGCTGGACAGAAGGTGGAGGCTTGGAGTCAGTCCCTGCTCTCCGATGGTTTCCAGTGTCAAGTCAGGGGCAGGCCAGAGAATCAGGGCACACTGACCCGGGGATTCCCAGAGGAAGTGAAGACTGAGCCAAAACCTGGTAAAGGAGATGAGAGGAAAAAGAGGAGTGTGTTCCATGCAGAAGCAGCAGAATGTGCTGAGACACGGAGGCAAGAAAGCAGCCCACGGTCAAGGAACTGCAAGAAGTTCAGTGTAGCTGGTCACAGCCTGGGCAGACCTAAAAGAGCCAAAGCTGAAGCAGGAAACAGGCTATTCCCAGCCAGTCTGCATGCTGGCTTAAGGAGTCTGAGTTTCATGGGAGGTCAATGAGAAGCTCAAGTGCTTTAGAAAGGATACAGCTGATCAAATAGCTGATATTTGGAAAATGGATCCAAGAGGCAAAACTGGAGGCTTCCAAAATCATCCACTGGAAGATGACAGGGCTGGACAGGCCAGGAGCAGTGGAATGGAGAGACATGGAAGGGCCGAGTACTCTTGAGAACATGGTGAGCTTACTGGATGGGGAAGAAGCTGCCCAGGACACTGCCCAACACAACCAGCCACCAAAGAAAGGGCAATTCTCTGAGACCCGCGTGGAAAGTCTGGAGCCCAAGTGTTTAGCCAGTCAGGTGGTAAGTAGCGGCCTTTCTCCAGCTCTGCTCTAGCCCTGGCATTTACACTGTGCACAAACATCTGAACAGGAAACACACCGCATCACAGCAAATGTATCAGACAGACTCAGGTTCGAATCTAACCTCTGCCTCTGAGTTCACCATTTGTCCAAGGGCACGTCACATGGTCCAGAGAGCCCTCAGTGCAGCCACTGAACAGGATCAGACAAAGGAGCACCTGAGCACAGCTGGAAGGGCTGCTGGTGGATGACTGTCCATTAGCGCATGCACTGGAGGCTCTTCTAGCATAAGAATCTAATAAAGGAAAGCAAGCCATTCTCGAAGGCCTGGATCCTGGAACACCTAAAAACAAATGCCTCACCCTAGCTGGTGTGGCTCAGTGGATAGAGCGTCGGCCTGCATACTAAAGGGTCTCAGGTTCGATTCTGGCCAAGGGCACATGCCTGGGTTGTGGGCTCCATCCCCAGCAGTAGGGGACGTGCAGGACGCAGCCAATCAATGATTCTCTCTCACCATTGATGTTTCTCTCTCTCTCTCTCCCTTCCTCTCTGAAATCAATAAAAAATATATATATATTTAAAAAAAACAAAACAACAAAAGCCTGACCCTAGCTGGTCTGGCTCAGTGGATAGAACGTAAACAAACAGTAAGGAATGGCTGGGAGGACAGAAAGGTCATATATAGAATTGCCCAGCTGGCGTGGCTCAGTGGTTGAGCATTGACCTATGAACCAGGAAGTCACAGTTCAATTCCTGGTCAGGCACATGCATGGGTTGTAGGCTCCATCCCAAATGGGGGTGTGCAGGAGGCAGCTGATCAAGGATTCGCTCTCATCATTGATGTTCCTATCTCTCGCTCCCTCTCCCTTCCTCTCTGAAGTCAATAAAAACATATTTTTTAAAAGAAATTCTCTATCTTTAAAAAAGCCTGTTTACTTGGGATTGCTGAGCTGAAAGGAAGTGAGCATTTGTTTCCTTCTTGGTAACAGGTCGGGTGGTGCTAAGAACCACTAACAACATACAGGCTGCCTCGGACGCCTGGGAGTGAGGCAACAAGAGCACTCACCCCCGAGCAGGTGACCGGAACAGACAAAGCTAAACTTCCCACACTTCCCGTCTCCACCGGGTCCCTCTTCTCTTTTTGTGCTTTCTCTCTTTATTTTTTATTTTAGAGAGAGGAAGGGGGGAGGGGGAGGAAGAGGAGAGGGAGAGAGAGAGAGAGAGAGAGAGAGAGAGAGAGAGAAACATCAATGATGAGAAAGAATCATTGATCGGCTGCCTCCTGCACGCCCTACACTGGGGATTGAGCCTGCAACCTGGGACTGGGGATTGAACCCACAACCTTGTCTTATCAGAATGATGCCCTAACCAACTGAGCCACCCAGCCAGAGCAGGGCTCGCTTTTCAAGCAGCAGGATATATCTGAGGGGCTTAGGGAGAAAATTTTTTACCCCCTCACAAAACGCAGCAATATGGGGAAGAAGAACCATGGGTCAGAGAGGGGAGGCGGCCAGTAAGTATAGAGACAACAGATGAGCTCTTCGTGGCAGTGAGGCCATGAGTTGCTCTACCTTCTCAATTTCGACCCTTCACTGCCCAAACCACAACAAGCCCTAGAGTTAGAAGAGTGACTCTGCCTCTCTGTTGGGCTCCAGAGAGAAGAGGCAGCAAGCGGGTGCTGCTCAGGCCAAGTTGGTTTCAGATCCGCCACAGAGCAGTGGAGGAGCAGTTGCAGCAAAGGCCCTTGGCTGACCAAACAGCCAGGTCCACCCTGAGGCTCTCACCATCCACGGCAGCCAGCGGGGCTGAACTGGGGCCCTGGAGGAGAGCCTGCCTGGTGGCTTCTAGGGCCCACACTACCCTCCACCCCCTCTGCTGACTCTCCCACAAAAGCAACTGTCTGCTGAAACCACTGCAGTCATGTGGAGAAATGTGAGCACATTTGTCAACTTGGATTCTTCTCTTTTTTTCCCTCTTTGGTTTTACAGATTTTCTACAATTAAAACAAATTACTTTGATAGTCATAGAAAAATCATTTCAAGAGTCAGCTGATGGCCGCACACTGAGGTTGTTGGCTCTCACCCATTTCAGAGCCAAAGGGCTACACTGGTGCACCAGGTCTCACGGTCAGCTCCTCAGTACACCCAGTTCCCTGAGCCTGGACAAGAGGGCGGAAGAGTGAGCTGCAGGAAATGGTCAAAATCCCTGCTCAGTGGAGGAGCTGGCGCTCCAGTTCACATGGCACCTGGAGCATCCCAAGCACGACCCAGAGCACACACTCAGGTGACCCTGCTGCAGTGACACAGGATCAACATTAGCTCCAACTGGCGAGCGATTCTTTCACAACCCAGGCAGGCCTGGTGACGGGCAGAGGACAGGACCTCAGAAACTGGACCTCTGGA